GCTACCCTCCTGCCAACAGGAGGAGCTCCCCCAGCGCTGCCCTCCTGCCAACAGGGAGCAGCCCCCCCAGAACCCAACAAAGGCCAGGGAGGGTCTACAGCAAACTGCAGCCAGACAGAGCTGGAAGCAAGGAGGCAGCAGAAACCTCAGGGGCAATGCCACACCTTGTCATCCTGCTGCCACCCCAGTTAGTCACAAGTCTTACCACAGAGACTTAATCACCGTTAGCATACAGGCCCTGGAGCAGAGGCGGCAGCTTGTGGAGGACGCTGCCCTCAGACCAGCAGGGAGAGGAGAAAGCCCTGGGTGGTCTCAGCCTTCACCTCCCCTCTCTGCAGCAGCAGCAGCCAGGAACCACCAGGCACAGCTTTCCATCAGAGCTGCCCAGAGTGACAGGGGCTGGTCCCTGCTCCAGCCTCACGAGATTCCCCACAGTTCACCTCCTGGAGCAACAAAGGTGGGAAAGCGGCAGCATCTGGTTACAGTACAGCAGGAAGAGAGCTCAAAAAGAAGAGCGCGTTCATTGGAGGTTAATACAGGAAACCAATTTCAAGGGGAGTGTGTTTCGGAGAGAAGCAGCTGTCACAGCTCCTGCACCTCATGTCGGAGTTACAGCCCAGTCGGTTTTATGTTTTCTTCTTTAGCTCCTCAAATCTCCGAGAAAGATCATCAAAGTCAATGTCTTCAGAGGCAGAAGAGTTGGTGCCGGCAGATGCTGTTGGCAGCGTATCTGGCACGGACGGCAATTCAGCCAGCACAAAGTTATCAACAGTGCTAGGAGCTCCAGCTCTTGGTTTAGGAGAAGGCTCTGGCTTGGGCCCAGGCCCTGTTTGGAGTAAGAGAAATATCATTCCACCTCATTTCACCTCACCATCGTGACCCTCTCACCAAGCCCAACACAGCCACACAAAAGAAAGGCTGTTCTCCCAAAAAGGGTAGCGCCAATGTATTCCTCTGAACAGGACCAGTGGTCGCGCACCTCTGACTGCGCGTAGGCTCAACGGGGAGAAACACAAGGTTTCACGGTTATACGGCTGCACGAGCCAGGGCAATCTCCACTGGTGACCCCATCCCAGATCCCCCTCCACCGCCCACAGCCAGCTGGTTGAAGCTGAAGCTCCCACCCACCGACACTGGCTGGACTGCATCGTGGGGATTCAAAGCCCCAGCTCTCTCCATTCCAACACCCCCTAAAGACACAGGCAGGCACCCCACGCTGTCACAGTGAGGCACAGCACCAGATCCAGTGCCCCCACAGGCCTATCTTCTTCCGCACGTGTCGCCAGTGCTCCCCCAGGACTCCACCAGATCACTGGAAATCCTTGATGGATCTGGCAAGGGTCCGCTTGCTCTAAAACCCTCTCTGCCCTATCAAGTGCTAGAGATAAGGAGTGCTTTCAAAACACACAGAGCAGACTCACTGTACAAGGCAGGAGAACTCTAACAATCCCATCACGACGCATGAAGCATCTCGTAAGCCTTTAGGCAGATGGACCCCGGGATAACAGCTCTCTGCTCGCCCTGCTCTGCGGTACGCAGCCCCAACACTGACACCAATACAAACCCACCCACCCTCTCAGTGCTCACTTCTCTCATTCTGTCATTTCTTCATTTCCATCAGAGTCCTCTCCAAACTCAAACCCTGCTCTCAAGAGGTGTTGAGTTCCACACGTTGGTCCCTACATGGAAAGCTCCCTCCCAGGGACACAGGGATCCCCAGCTACCCACAGCCCCCGGCCACCCAGGGTTTCCCATGCCTCTTGCCATACTCACCAGCCACAGGCGCAGAAGCGTCCTTGTCGGCATTAGGCTCATCAATCTGTAAAAAGACTCTCGGTTACTACAGCTCCTGCTCCTACCAGGCACAGAACGACGTGGGTGCACAGGCACTGCTCATGGGCACACCCAAACTGCTCACACACACACCCCGCCCCTCCCCAAGGAGGCAGACAGCCCCAGCTTCCAGTGCACTCGAAAGAATCTGCCTCTTCCCAAGAAAAGAAGGCAGTGCTTTGACTTTCCCTCCCTATCAACCCAAGCAGCTTCACTGGCCCTATTCTGGGACTGGATAAACAGAGCACATCCACTAGCAGGTCTAAAATACTCATCGAGGACATGACTGGGAGAAGGCTGTCCTCTTTATCCACATAATCACAGCTACTGCTTCCATTCTTTCGTAAAAAATAGTCAGGTCCTCATAACCAGGACCAAGGTACAACACAACCCCATCTCAGGTCTTGGTCCGCTCAGGACAAAGGCCCACGGCACGGTTGGCTGTGCTGGTGCAACTCCTCCTCCCCTGGGGGCTGCAGGCAGTGCTATCTGTCCCTGCCCCCCTAACAACTCCTGCATCTGGGCCTACATCTCCTGCACTCACGGCCTGCCGAGCCGCTGGCACAACATGTCGGCACACACGGGTGCTTGGCTACGCTCACCCCTACTCGGGGTACTGCAAAAACAAGCAGCATGTCACTGAAAGCAAAACGAGATGCATGATCGTGAACTGCAGCAACAAGAACACAGACAAGCACAGAAAGAGAAGGCTCCAGCCTCTCCTCCATTGTCCCCAGGGACTGAGAACAGTCTGGAAAAGGAAGAGTGTTTAAACACCAGGTCAGCCAAAATGTTCATCCAGGCTCACTATGATTTAGTTCAAAAGCCATCACTAAACAGACTGAAGGTGATAAACCCCAAAAAACCGCTGAATTTGTGGACTCTGCTTGTTAACTGTTTATCACCATTTTAACAATGCAGTAAAATAGATCTTGGCTTTCCTCTGCAGCCAACACACAGCAGAATGAGGAACTTCTCCTGTCCTGGGTCCAGCTGGGATAGGGTTAATTCTTCGCAGAAGCTGGGAGTTGGGCATAGCCGGATATTCGATACCATGCTGACGTCATGCCCGGGATATAAGGGGAAGCTAGCCGGGAGAGGGCTCTCTTTTGTGAAGCTCGTGGTGGTGAGATTTTCATTGTATCAGTGTTTCCATTGTACTCTATATCTTGTCTTATTGTTATATTCTTCTTTCTTTTGCTTTCCTCGTGTGGTATTATTAAAAAATCTGTCATTATCTCAACTCAGGAGGTTCCACTTTTTCTTATTTGCCCCCATCTTACCGGGAGAGGAGTGGGGGGGGGGGAGGCGGTGTTGCGACCACGTGGTGGTGGTGGTCCTGACACCAAGACATCTCCTCAGGTCATTCTCCTGTCACACGCACTCAGTGATTCACCACGCCAGTAAGCAATGCCAGGCACCACCAGGCACCACCCCAAAGCTCCTATGGCTGACAGCAACATGCTTCACCAACATTTGCTTTTTCCACTGCTACAACTACACTCTTTGTGAGGTTCCCTCTGCTGCCTACAACAGTGATTCAGCCCAGGCACTTACAGATTCGTATGTTGGTGGGGCTGCTGGAATCGGTGGTGGATGGATGTTGGTGAAAGGCTGGTAGGTCCCCACTGGCAGGCCATTGAAGTTTTCCTGTAAGGAGAGACCACTGTCATGCACCAGACTACTCACCGAGGACACAACACACCCACAGCTGCTATGGGAGTCAGAGAGAAGCAGCAGTCTACAACAAATGCAGGCAAGTATCCAGCCTGGTATACTTCATACTTATTAGGAAGAGATTCTAAAGCACTGAGTCAGATGTAGCCACCTGGAGCAGCCAGACCCAGCTAACACGACTGTGGGTTATTCTAAGAACCCGCATGGCCAAACGCTCCTTCCAAGGCATTAGAAGCACATGGGTAAAAAGGGTAACACCCTGCCTTAAGCACACCTGAGCTGTTTCTCCTGAGTGCAGTACTGCAAAACAAGGAGGTTGTCTCTGGCTCACTCGAGGCTTTCTATTACCCCTACTTGTAACACATCAGTGCCTCAAAGACCTGGACTTGGCACAAGTCCTCAGCATGTTTATGCCTGGTCCTTCAGTCAGCTGATGATACGGGGCCCAGATTTTCCACAAAAACACTGCAACATTGCTGGGACCACACTAAGACTCCAAGCCGTCCCACTTCTCTGCCGCTCTCCCGTCGACACGGATATCCTGCAAATGACTGAACTCAGAAAACAGTGCTCTTTTCAGTTCCCACCTCACAACAAACCATTTCCCAGAGCCACTGGCCTGGTCCCCTCCCCTTGTAGGTCTGAAGGCAGGGCACTTGCCCATTTTTCTGTGCTGTTCCCACCCCACAAAACTCACCTGATCTCCTTGACTGAATCTTGGCACACTACCAGCCTACCAACTTCAAAGTGCAGCTCTAACCCCTGGTCAAAAGCCTGACAGTCAGGAGACTGCCTCAGGAGTTAAGTCTGGACTCCTCTGTTCCCTGAAGGCAAAGAGGGCTGGCTGGAGAACAGGGGCAGGAACCTCCACAGTCCAGAAGCAACATGAAGCTTCAGCTGCAGTGCCAACCGTTTCCATCCCGTGCAGTCTCATGGCAACCTAACAGCCTTCTGACACATCAAGCTATTGGGTACAGACACTTCCCAATCAGCAGGCACAGGGCTAGGCACGACAACCAGAGTCTTCCACAGAAAAAGGGAACGCTCAAAGCAAAGGCACTTACCTTCGGAGGCGGGTAGGAGAAGGGTGGATTTGGTGCTGGCATGGGCATAGGCATCATCACTGGCATGGGCACCAGCGGGGCTGTGAATCCACCACCTCCACCCCCTCCAGGGCCACCCTTTGTCACATCGTCTGTGAATCCCACATCAATCAGATCTGCCTCTCCACCTGCCGGGGCTTCAGCCTGGAGAGGGTGGAAGAATTCTGCTCACCAGCACATCCCTATTCTGATCACAGCCCTCTGAACAGCGTTAAATGCAGCATTTGTCACTGGGCAGGATGGGACAACACAACAGGGACACAACACAAGGACAGAACAGCCAGCAGCTGCACAGCGATATTCAGAAGAATCAGAAAGGGAACCAGACTATACCATGACTAATTGCAGTCACGTGCCACAGGGCTGTAGGAAGGAGCAGGGATCATGCTGTGCTAGGGCTGTCTAGAAGATACCAAAGCACAATTATGACTGAGTTTGCTGCAATGCCACTGCCCTGTGCTCTGAAAGCTGGCACTACACTAACGGGACATTTCTGCTCCAGTCTTGCAGGTGCCTCACTCACCATCACCACTGAGTCAGGCTCATAGGGCACGTTGTAGTTCTTGGCAATCTCGATTAGGTATCTCTCCACCAGAATCTTGGGCGGTGCCTCCACGCTCAGCTTGTGCATCAGCTGGAACACAAGGGTGCAAGAGACGCTCAGTGGGACCAGGGCAGCGCAGCACCCCACTCTGTCCCAGCCAGGGCCACCCGGTGCAGAGAGCACTGCACAGTCCCGGGGAGACCCTCCGTCCCAGTGCAGCACTGCTGCCGGGGAGGCTGCAGGCAACCACAGGCCAGGGCTCCCTGTGCTCAGCTCCTCTCCATCCACAGCCAGCACGGCAGGGCCGCACTGGCCAGGGACCTCAGCACCATGCTCCCACACTTGCAGGGCCTCCAGCAGTGCAGCTGGCCCACCCTACTCTGCAGTGAGCCACAGGCATCAGCCACTGGCCACAAGAAAAAGGGGCAGAAAGCCACAGGAGATGTGGTTGTTCTGCCAGCTCCAGCTGTCTGCAGCTGTTCCACCGGTTCATTACCCTGTCGTTGACTGTCCCGATCTGGTTTGTGCGGCACAGCTTCCCGTACTCCTTGCTGTACTTGGCACACAGCTGGTCAGCAACCTGCAGGAGGAAACAAACTCTGGCAACGTGCACACCCTTGTCTTCCCCCACTGCACGCTGCACACCTGCTGTAGCCCCTACAGCTGCCCGCCTCCCCTCTCCTGCCCCCCAGGTAGCCCTCATTTCTGCCACTGAGCACCCCAGCCGAGCAGCCTCAGCCATTCCTGATGCCTCAGGGACACCTGTACTTGGGTCTCCATTTCCAGAGCCCATAAAACATGTCCCTTGTCTTAATGACACAGTCACGGACAAAGGCTTCCACTAGCTACCAGCAGCGTCGCCCCCACCCTGCACGCGTCACACCCCTCAAACAACCCTACTCACAATCTTCAACTCAGCCACTTCTGACTGGAGCCGTGGTGCAGCCCAAATCAGCGTCGACACTGCTTCTGCCAGGCCAGAGTCCAGCTCCCTACGGACAAGAGAAGACAAGCCTATCTCCACCCCAAGCACCCAGTCTTTACTGCCGTCAGTCTGCTTAGCCTAGAAAACCCCCTCCTCCATGCTGGACTCCAGAGTCTTCCCTGCCTGGGGAAGAAAAGGTCTCTGGAGGCCCTCAGACAGCGAGACAAACAAGTGTCCCTCCGTACCCGAGGCCTGCCCCAGCAGTACCCTCCCTGAGCCCAGCGGTCCTGGCCCCTCTCCCACAGCACACCCTCCAGGCTGGAGCTTACTTCATGGACTGAATCAAGCCAAAGCGGGCTAGCAGCAGATCACAGTAAAGCTCCAGGATCTCCATGGCCTCCACAAGGTAATCTTCACGGATGATGTGCTCCACACGGATCCTGGCACGCTCATCTTTCCCGGCTGCCAGATAATCTGCAATCTCCTTCCTCGCCTTCTGGGCCAACTCAGCTACGGCACACATCCCCAAGGCCAGTCACTGCGCTGGCCGGGGCTGCTGCCTCCGCACCCGCCCGCAGTCCCCACCGCACACAGAGCCACCATGAGCTTCTCTTGATCTGTCATCGAGCCTCTGCAGTGCAAGACACCGAGCTGTGGCTCTGCGGAGCCCTTGTGCCCAGGTCCTAGCACACTAACTCACAGCAGAGAAGGAAGTGGGCTTTTAGCTGCTAGAAACACTCCTACACCTTCAACTTCCCTCAGAGTCAATCAGAGCCATGGATCTTATCTGTGTCTGGGCAGGGCAGGACAGCCCGGGTGGGGAGAGCCTCCCACAGCACCCAGGAAGCTCCCCACCATGCTCTGGGTGCAGAAGGCCCAGCCAACACCCCCCCCCGTCAAACCGTCATGTCCCTCCACACACAGCCAACAGCTACCACCCCATGCACCCCATAAATTGCACCCCAACACCTGCCAGGAAGGGGGACAGGGGCCACACTGTGGCCAGTCTGCTTCTCTAGGTACCGCCACACCAGGGCGGACTGCATGGTCTGCCAGGCCACTCCATACTCAGCCCACGGAAGCACCCTGACTGCAGAAAAATCTTCTCCTCAAGTCTCCTGAGCCCCAAAAGCATCCCAGGTCGCACCTGCCCCCTCAATACTCACTCTTCTTTTTCTCCAGCAGTTTGAGTCGATTGATAACAAGACGCAGGTTTACTCGCAAGCGCTCAGCCTTGAATCCAGAGCCCAACATGATAAACAATTTCTGTGGGAGAAGAGGGGAAGGTCATTGGAACCAGGAGCTGTCGGTCTCACCAGCAGGACAGCAGTCACTGTTTTACTTGAGGGAATAAAAAAACCCACAATTTCTCCACACACACAGGTACAGGCCTGCTATTCCTGAATCTGGTTATTTACAAATGACTGGACCTACAGCACTCATCACTCTCTGTCCCACTTTACAACCCTGTACCTAACCAAGGCCAACAGGTAACAGAAGCTCTCTGGATATTCCCGCTCTGACATACTGAATCTAGAGCCCAGAAACAGACGTAAGATGATCAAAACTGGAACTACTGCACAAACAGGAACATGGTTAGAAGACATACCCTAAACCAAGAAGTTAAAGGCCTGGGTCTATGTACTCTAGACAAGTGACACTAGTCACTGATGTGAACACCAGTGTACAGTAAAGTTTTCAAATGTCAGACAAACATCTACCAGCAGTGCTCTAGGAAAATATGACTGTGCTTCAGTTCAGCAAGCCAAGCTGACCGAGTTGGTATTTGGAGGTTCTGTTCAGCCCTAGATTTTGAAGAAGCCCAAGGGGAAAAAGTCCTCAGATTTCACAATAAACAGCACAGCTGCTTCAAAAGAGGAGGGAAGAAACCCATGTCTCAAAACACCACCTGCAACAACTATCACACAGTCAAGTCCTCTCTCTCTCTTCATATTACTTCATCAATAAAACCACATTTGTAAAGAAACATAAAAGTCAACTGCAAGAACCAAGCCAACCTCTGTCCTACTAATATGCAAGCTGTAAACCAGCTGTATGACTAACCCAAGGACTGTACAAACTAAGGTGCTAACAGTCCTGTCATCAGAAGGAAGAGTTGCCGTTCCACATTCCTCACACTCTTTCTGCTTCCTGAACAGGCTCTGGCAATTCTCCAGCCTCTCATGAGACAGTTCAGCTCATTAGTCCTGCAGAAAACTAACTCAGAAGATGCTTTACTGTGGTATTTTGTTATGCCAAGAACTATTCATGAGAAAACCCTTCCTTAAGTGTTATCATATAGAAAGACCTTGGCTTGTACCTGAAGGACACACTGGAGCTGACTCTTGGGCAGTGACAGCATTTTGTGTATAACTAGTGCTTTACAGAAGATCTGTCACTATCTAGACTATATCCAGTTTATTTAGCTGATCTGCTCGTACATCAATAGTTATTTCAATGATTCACAGAACCAACCAAGCTCAAAAAACATTGCTACAGCATGCATGATATCAGTCCGACAGCATGAAAAGTACGTTTTGCCCTTCTGTAACTAGAACATACTCCTACAACATTGAAATAACTTTACAGCACTGCAAGAAACAGCCTCAGCATGAGTTGCCACGTCTCATACTGTATAAGTACCTATTAAATAATTATGCTGATGAACAACAACCTGTTTTAACAGGCTACTTCAATATAAAGCCGTTCTTTCGCAACCATCCTGCCGTCATCCTAAAAGTTTTGTGGTCCCCACATCACGGTCTCAGCCACAC